TAAGTAAATAAATGAATAAATGAATAAAAACAACAAAACAGCAAAAACTAAACAACAAAAAACAAAACAAAACAAACACAAACACAAACAAACAAAGAAATAAAAACGAGAAAAAACCCAACAAAACACACCAATAAAACAAAAAACTGTTTAATTATTTTATTTTTAAAAACTCTTTCCCAACTAGGCGTAACCTCTTATTAAGGCAAGCACTAATACATTTTGGGGCGTTTTTGGCTTGAAAAATCGATTTCCAGATTTTGGGCTAGAAATAATGTTAGACCATTATACTACATGTTCCACATGTTTCCAAAACTTAGAAAGCACAATAAATATACAAATTTTCTGTTTTTGTAACCTAGGGATGATCTTTTAGGATCACCAAAAAGGGCTACGTTGTTAGTTTTGGGTTATAAAACATTGTAGCAACCAATATGTTACTTTGAATAGAAAGTTGACATGCTGTATACCACTGAAAACAGCATTTAGTGCTCAATCTGGTAAAATAACTCCCAGCACCCTACGCATTCATTCAAAAACACTGTAAACCGTTGAAATAGGTCACCAGACCATGCCAAATAGATTTGGGAATTTCCGTAAGAGCAGATGACGCAGTCATTTCAATGCTTTTCTCCCTTTGGCATTTTCAGCATGGGTCTCTTAAGATTTTCTCAAATTGCCAAGTTATTTTCAAAGACATTTATATGATATTTTGCAAGGACATGTAGAAATGGTGTTTAAATGACATAACGAAGAGATTTTGGGCATATTATCTTTGAATTTGATAAAATTCTTGGTTGTGTTATCAGAGCGTTTTTTAACTAATGTACATGTTTGTTTTTTCAATCTATGCATAAAATAGTCTTAAATATCATGTTTTCTTTTCATTGTGACACATCCTAGTTTGTTAAGTAAGTACACTGCAAATCTGAGGGCTGCATCTAGAATAGTTTTTTAGATTAGAAATGAGAAAATCTGAAATCATAAAAAATTCAAGATGACCACATTTTTTGCGAAAATTAAAACATTCTTCGAACATGTTTTTTATATGACCCTTCAAAGTCACTGTAGTCATGTTTCAAGATGCTGTTGTCATGAACAGCAAAATGGTGGAATCTATTAGTTCTTGCCTTAAGTCCACGGGATCCACCAAATGGGACAAAGTGAATTAAATCCTCTTATCGGAATTCTGTTCTTTGAAAATCAATAAATGCATTTGCCAGATTTAACTTTAAAGATATTGGCTAGACTCAGCTTATTCCCCCATCTTCCACCCATTTCCTTAACCACCACAGAGGCCACTTAGTTTTGATGACAATTAATATTTTGCTCAGCAGTAAAGAGATAAGTATAACATTCGTATTTCCAGGGGTATTCAAAACCCATTTTGCAGATCACGTTCCACTATTTTTTTTTTCTTGAGTGCCATATGCACAGCACGTATGAAATGTCTCTTTTTTAACGTAGGTGTTTTACGTCCTTATCTACATCGCTAAGATCATTGCCTTCGACCCTGCCTGCCAGGGCCAACTTTGGCTGATAGTGATAGGATGATAAAAAGGCAACTTCCAACTTCCAACTTTCAAGCATACTCGGTAAGAATTCTCTCCTCACGGGAATCGAACTCAGGTGTTGCGTGGTGAGGCACCGAAGTGCTTAAGCGCTATACCACAACGCCACTAAGCATTTTTAT